GACATTGAACGCGCAAGACTTCAAAGCTTGGAGTTTGTACTCCTGCAGGAGTCATGGAGGCCCCATCCCCCGGTGTGAAATGATCCGAACAAGTCATGAAGTGCTCAAAGAGCTTTTTAGGATTGCGCTGCTGAAAGCAGAGCCGCTAATCGGTTCAGGCAGTTATAGGCGAAACAGAAGCTCTGAAGGAGGGTGTTTGCCGAAGGACGAATCTAACATCTTGCTTGGATAGCCGAATCCTGGATGCCTGCGTGCAGAACTGACAAAGCATATCTGCATTGGCACGTTTCAAGTTTGCGGTCCCGCTGGCATGCCCAAGCGGGCAAGATCCACACGGGATCCATATGAAATCAAAGGAGGAGTGCAAGTTGCTGAGACCAAGACTATAAAGCTACATATGCCCAAGAACATGCTCCCATTGTAGGAAACCTACACAGAAAGTAGTTTCCATTTTCTTTTCCATTATTCCTCTCTCTCTCCTATATAATGCCTATAAGCCAGCTTGCCCAGGCAGATGCATACTTGAAAGTCCCGAGGACCACTTGTGCGTAAAGCCGGCGTAGTAGTGATGCGGAAGGTTGTGCAGTGCTCCTGCGCTTGGCGGCACAAATCCATAATGCGAAAGGCCCCCTTGCTACTACATGAACCGCATGGCTGAGGTGAGCTAATGGTTACCTACGCAATTTGAAGCACCAGTTGGCCCTGCACCCTGAGCCCTATGCAACTTCTTCTGCTCCGTGAGACCTGAGACTGATGACATACCAGCCTGAAGGTAGACACAATGCATGTGGAGATTTCTAAAATGATTGCGGGGCCCCTGGCAGCCCCCATACAGAGGTTATCACCTTTGGGGAAATGCAAGCTAGACTCACCGTTTTGCTATATGCGTGTGCTGATCCCTCATTCTTCGATTAGCCTCAGGGCCTGTATGGGTCCCATCCAGAAGTTGTGATACGCTACAGTACAAGTCACACCACGTACTCATACGAAGAAGACTTCCAAGGAAGACATCTTTGGGCTTCTCTTAGCGGATGTCTTTTGAGCACATGGCCAGAATATGTATGGCCTTCTGGGACGCTGGGATCCTCCGGTACAATGCAAAATCCATTTAAGGATTCAGGGCCAGATGCCTTCCCAACTGTTCAGGTGTCCTCCAAACGGCACTTGCAGCATCACCATGCCACCTTAGCGGAGGGTGGGGCGGAAAGTCTCCTCAGCCACAATTCCGCCAGCTTCACTACTCTAAGGACTTTAGGAGGGACCCCTAATAGGGACCCTTGTAGCTTATGGGGGTTAATGTGGGGACTACCTAGGGATATAGGGGTTATATAATGACTATATAGGGGTTATATATGGCAATGGGATGAAGGGTCCCTATTAGGGGTCCCTCCTAAAGTCCCTAGATTCACATGTAATTACTTCTGCACTCATGCCATGAGCTAAGAGGCCTATCTTTGGTATGTGACGACATTGCGTTGCATGATAAGTTTGGCGCAAACACCTCCCCCGAATTCTCACGCATCCCCCCGACCACCTGACATCATCAACACATTCTCCATCCTCTGCACTGGCAAAAAACACAGCAAGGCAACCTTCTCTACAAAACAAGTGAACCACAAGCATGCTTCCAGCACGGGTCTGTAAAGAGTGGTCACAGGCCGGGGTCCCTCCTTGCTATCCGGCCCCAAATTCGAACTCCTGTACCGCAGACCTGCTAGAATTGACCAAGCCCTTGCTTGTCAGACGCAGATCTCGAAGATGCGCCCAGCCCATAATTTCAAGGAAATAATGGTGACCCAGGGGTGTGGAAAAACATTGGGTGGGGGGGGCTGGTTGAAAGACCAAAAGACAAGGCCATCAAACTCTTAGTGCTTGCAGGCAAAGCAGCCTGGCTTCAACAGGCGACCCATCTCGTGCATCGCCTGGGGTTTGAGATTTGTGTTTCAGCTCGGAGTCTCTCCAGACCCTCTGAGCCGTACATGATATTTCAAGAGCTACATCAATTTTTGATGAACAGCAAAGACGCGTCAGCCTTCTTCAAACTGACTCTGCCTGAGGAAAGCATAGCATTGGTGCACTGCTTAATCCTGAACCCTAAACCCCATCGCAGGCAGCGTACCTGCCAGATTACTCCACCAAGGTTGGGTGTTGAGCGGTACGCGCCCGGGAAGGTCAGTAGGGAATAATGGAATATTTCGCGGTTATACGGGGACAATGGAAAAGAAAGTAGAAACTCCTCTATGATAGTAGGGTGTATACCCAGGAAATCAGGGGTCTGAGGTCCTAGTTTTCTATTACCAGCGGGCTAAGCTCCTGACACTCTTTGGATTGATCACATGTTCCAGCACATCCGTGCAGATGACCAGGTCGAAAGATTCGTTTGGCAGCCTTCGGGTTTGTTTGGGTTACAGTAGGCTTTGTAAATGATTTGGTGTAATACTAGGGTTATATTGGGGTTATACGGGGATAATGGAAAAGAAAATGGAAACTACTCTAATGGGTTCTATAGGGCTTAGGGCTTGGCAGTGGTTGCCATGGGCTACACTCACTGGGTCGGCCCCTAAAACCCTTTGACAAATATTCGTATGTAGGGTCCCCTACTGAAGCCATCAGGGAAAATATCTAGTATCCGCGGGCCCACCCAGCTCAAAACCCTGACCTTAAACCCTAAACAACCCTAAACCTTGAACCCTAAACCCTGAACCCTAAACCCCCTCAGCAGGAAGACCCTCTCACAGCTCAGCTGAAAGATGAGAAATGCGGGAGTTCTTGCTTTCACAAGCATGCTGATTGTCGCATCTACCAGCATGCTCAGCATGCTCAACGCCACTGGTCCATAGATTCCGTTCGTTTTTTGAACCCCCCAAAACCCACAAATGATAAAGGGGCTATTCTCAAAATTATGGGCCCTTTGATAGGGGAAGAGTGGAAGTCCGCATTACCTGCAGCTGTCTCTTCTTGCAGCTACGCTGCCCCCATAACCCCCTGAGGGGCATGCCCTGCTTTTCGTGCACGTGTGGAGGAAGGGATGATTGCATTCCCCGAAAGAGAAAGTATAGCAGACTCCAATTTGTGAAAAACTCCCCAACCGTTCACTGCAAACTACTCCAACCCTGGTTTGCTTCTGCAGGTTTCATCACCAAAAAATCATGTCGATAGAGATAAACGTTGCATCGATGCATGCAAGTTGCGTGCGGAAAGCCAACTGGGACTCCGAACAACACAAAGGGCATTTGGAGACAGCATATGTGTGCCAAACATGCCAAACATGTGCTGAGAAACACAAACCAACCTTACTCAAGATGTCTGAGCCTCAGGGTAACAGCTTTCCGGCTTGTAGAATGTGCTTGGGCAAGCAGGATTCTCGAATCCGTTTCCTTGTAAGCTTTGACTATTGATAGCTTGCATGTCTTGCGCCTTTACTTGTTCTACATGCTTTTAGTCCAGGCTCTAATGGGCAGATTCCGCGTGGTCAATGTACATGTACGGTGCTTGAAGAGCAAGTTGCAGCAGGGACATCAATGAGGTTCCTGATGAGAGGGGGGGTATTTTGATATAGCTCTTACATGCATCTTGGGGCCTCAGCTGAAACTGAGATCAAGCGTGTATAAATCAGTCCCTGCCAGTGGTTTCAGACAGTATGAAGCCCTAAGCCTGAGGCCCCCACATCCCCCCCAAGCATCCCCAAACCCCAGAACCCCGAAGAAAGCCCAGCGGCGGAATGCTTCCAATGTCGGACACTACATCGATCTTGGCATAGCCCTGCCTCAGAGCTGCTTGAAGTTTCAATGGCGTTTGCAGCAGTATAGAGAACAGCTTTAGAACGTCGGTTTTTTTCGTGGCCAGTTTGCGGAGGTTGAAGGGCTTCTAATTTTACTCATCTATTCTACTTTCGGTCTCTGGAAGGTCCAGAGATGAACTCTGAGCATCTGACTGGCCCAGAAAAGCATGAAGAAAGGGCTACAACCGGTCTAGCAGAGCCCAAGAAGTCGTGCTGCTGAACAAAAGCCGTGCAGAACTGATCTGGGAGAGAAAGGTTTAGACGGATTCCTTCTCGCTGCCTGTTTGCAGGGACCATTCTGCAACGCACTCAACTCAGGATCTACATGTAAGACAGTTACAGTTGCTGCGGCAGGAAGGAGATAACCATACAAGATAAGTCAAAACGACGTCCGAACACTCCTCGCCCTCAAATGGTCAAGTGCAGGCAGGCGGCAGGAATACAGACCCCGCAATTCCCTCGGTGCCTTCGTAGTGCATGGCGTCCTTTGTGCATGTGGCTCAGGCTACTAAAAGCAGAAATGCTCCAAGCTTCACATCTTGCCACGAGGCCTCCTTGTATCCCTGCACCGATTCCCATGCTTGAAGGCACAGTGGGTTACAAAACCGCTGACAGAAGACGAGGCAACTGCGCCCTGACCGGCTTTCATTTACCCGTGCGTGAACATCACCTCCGACTGACCATCCCGCCCGTGAGTCTTCCTCTACTGGAACTCTTTTCTGCTGACGGCCAGTGGCGGTCAAGCTTTGGCGCCGTTTGCGCAGGAGATTTCTTGCACATGCTAAACTGCTGACCCCTTCTGTGTGCATATCGAAGGCCGATCTGCTGAAGGAACTGCAGCCTGTACACGGGACTTGTGCGGCAGGCACGCACTGCATCCTTACAGGGATGCACTTTACATGCATGGCGGCGCATAAGAACAAAAGCCAGACGTCACGAATTCTTAAGAAAAAGACTGCACAGGTTGAGCAAAACTATTCTAGCTTGAAGCTAGCAACAAAAAGGGCCCCCGTGGCCCAAATCAGAGCGGATGAGACATACCGGCTCTGTGAGATTGCGGGCAGCAGCTGACCAAGACGCCAAGTCTATACGGTGCTAGGCATGGCAGTCAGCCTGGCTCAAATAAGAGCGCAGGTGTCACGTGTGTAGTCAAAATTGCTGGTGGCGCTGCACAGGCGCCCCAGCTGGCACACGGTTCGCGTCAAGTGGTTCATGCTTTTCAAGCTACACCAATGCAACTGTCCAGGCTAGCGGGTGCAGCAGTCTTGTGACGTCTGCAACTCCGAATAGGAAGTTCTTCCTCGTCGCTCTCCTCCTCATCCACATCAACCTCGACAAAGGTGTTGCGCACGTGGACCTTTTGCTGGGGCCGTGCCGCATAATCAGCTTGGATCCGCTCAGCCAGGGAGGAAAGATCAATCTCCTGACAGAAGCGCGGCTTGACGCCCTCGCTAAGTCCTGGCGCTTGTGCGCCGCCGTTTGCACGGCGATAGGCAGTCTTCTGTAACAGGTAGGCACTGCGAATGTGACCCTGGACCCGGACCCATTCATCCCGCGCCACCACACACTGGAAGTATAGGAGCTCCTGCCCATCCAAGGACTGGTAGAAGCGACAGCTCTCACCGATGCGTTCTGCAAAGAGCCGCAGGTACTCAGACAAGTGGAAGGCGCTGCCTCCCGCCATAGCAGGTTCGTAGCGGACCCACTTGGTCAGTCCCATCGCCTGTCCTGCATCAATCCTTGTGACTGGCTCCCTCTCATCAGGCTGCGCTGGAAGCAGAGGCACGCCGCGCTTGAAGCTCTGCATGGTCAGGACCACATAGAACTGTTCGTCGAAAGCACGAATCTGGGGGATGCCAGGCCGATTGAGATAGTGATGTGTCACCCTCCTACCTGATTCCAAGGCTCCATGGAATTGCGCAGCAGCCCACTGGGAAAGGTTGAGGTCTGTGGGCACCCGGAAGATGTGGTAGATATCAACGCAACCTTTCACATCTGTCGGGCGGCAGAAGTTAATGGCCTCGAAGGGCTCGGACAGACTTGTGACGGTCTGGGAGCTGTCACCCTTCTGCGGGTAGTTGCGCCGCGATCGCATGCGAAGTTGCACAGCCATTTCTGGGTGGTAGAAGTGGGTCTGCGCAAGCTGCGCACCGATCTCACCAAACAGCACGGCAAAAAGCCGCAACACTTTCCAGGACGCCCACCTATGCACGATAGCGTCTCCTGGCGCAAGCTGCTCTTGCAGTGCAAAGTACTCAGGACTGCATGCGACAAACTTGCTCGCCCCCCATGCACGCGACTCTGGCCGGACGAGAATCCGTGCAGGATCCTCCGGAGGATCTGCGACGGTAACGTACAGAAAGGTCGTCTTCACCAAGCTTCCGCCCCAAGGGCAACTGCAGTGCGAGAGGAAAGAAGAAGGTTCCTCCGCAATGTGTTGCCAGCCTTCACTGAGGAGCAGGTGTGGGACCAAGTGGCACCACTCCTCAATGCTTTCCGGGTGGGCGGACATCTTGCGATCCGATAACTGTACAACACCCTGAGAGTCTTATCTCAGTGCAGGGCTCGGACCTGAAAGGCTACGGCCACCTGCAGCTGAAGGGCTCACCAATGTAGGAATCACTTTGTATATGAGGATCCCCAGTGACCCTGATTTTAAGACCTCATGCAGCAGCTCAGCAAGTCCCGCATGAAGACAACTTACCACCAGGCGTCCTGCGTTGTGTAGTTGAACCCGAGACCTTGCATCGCAGGCTTGCAGGGAGCAGTTCCAGCGCCGACGTCCAGCACCTGATAAGGGAAAACAAAAAGGAATGATGTGCGACACCGAGTCGCAGTTTGCAGCCGAGTATGTGGAAAGGAGCAGTAGGGAGCAGTTACCTCAAAGAAGGGTTTTGAGGCAGCCCAAGATTGTTTGCTGTCACTTAAGCTCTAAACTACCCAATCCTAAGCTCCTGGTCTTCAGATCTACAGGGGTCTTCCTGACCCGAAGCCCAACCTGGGAGTCTTTGGGCAAGGCGGTCACCGCTCGGGCAATCTGCTTGCACTTCAGGTCGCCTCGATTCTGGTCCTGCCAGACGTTCCTAATTCCTAGAGAAATAAATCCTGTGCCTAAAAACTGTTTGTCCTCCAAAATACTTTTCATGCCCATAGCCCGCCACAACCCTACACTGCCCCTCTATAGAGGTAACCTCTGCTTTGCCAGCACCTCCCACAACAGACCTTCTTCCTCATCCCCAGGTAAACATCTGCAATACTAACTGTAAGGGACTGTGCGATACTACGCCTTTGGAGATTTTCGTTACGCCTTTCCTGCCTCTGGGTGCAGCCGGTGTAGCAGGAAGTCCCGCTGTTCCGGAAGCAGCTTGTCCAGGCCTCCGCTGACCAACTGCATTGTTGTGGTCCTAAAATTAAATGCCAGAGCATCACATGGAAAAGAGAATTGAGAACGACATGGAGACTAGAATTCTCCACTTTCGTCTTAGGGTTTCGAAAGGCCTGGAAAAACAGGCGGAGCGCATACAAAGCAGAGTCGGCAATCATGACAGCCTTGTGGGGATCTAGGGGCGGGTGGAAGGAGATCGGAACGTATCTCAAGCAGGAGTACCTACTCCTTGTTATAGGAAGTCTTCCTGAGGAGCTCAGGAAGCCCCATGATCCATGACATCCCTGTCTTCAACGTGAAGCTCTGCTGTGCACTCCGCGCTGTCAGAACGATCTATATAGCAAGCATTAACTGCCCCCCTGTCGCCTTCTGCAGAATAAAGCTGGGATTCGCTGGCAGACCCATAGAGGAGTCTACATACATTTGTCTAAGGAACCACCCTGCAAGTGCTTTGGAAACTTTGCCTCACAGTAGCTTACAAGGGATTAGACAAAACCTTCCTCTGCCGGCCTGGGCCCCCAATCTTGCTCTTCCGGGGAAAGCAGGTGTCGTGAGACTGGCGTGGGAAGCTGCGAGGATCTGAACGTTTGTGCTTGATGCAGCGGTATTTAAGGGGAACAGGATATCTCATGATTTCAGGAGATTGGTGCGCATGATTGCCGGTCCGCTAAACAAAGAGGGCTCACTTCGGCAATGTTTCTGAAGGGCTGATCTTGATATTCGGGAATCCTGTCAAGCGCTCTGGACAAACTTCCGGTATGAAAAGCTCAGCGCCTACCGTATGCCATGAGCTGACTGGACTACAACTACCAGCTACAAGTGAAGTATGCCAATCTTGCATATATCCTGTTATCCTATAGCGTCCTTTTAAGCTCTTCAAGCGCCAATGGAGCCCAGTTAGTTTGTTGTGCATTTCTCTTCAAGTCATCTTTGCCACCAAGACATCGTACCCCGGGAAGCTTGTCCCGGCTATTCCGACCACTGAGGCCATTGTAGTAGTCCATGCTAGTAATCATAGTAGGAATAAGAATAGTAATTACAATAGCAATAATAATAGTAACAATCATGGTAATAGTAGTACAAGTAGTAAAGACTAGTAATGCTCATCCTTGAGCTCCCAACAAAAACATACCAGAATACTGTACAAATCTGTGCGTTGCCAATGGCTGCCTGCGCACAGCCGACTTGTGTGGGGCAGAAATAATCGCCAGTTCCATAGGGATCGCAGCAGCCGTAATTCTCCTCGACACGTGCATTGCTGTTCCTTTTGGGGATGTCTACTTGCAACCAAAACCTGGATAGCTTTTCTGCAGTCTGAAAATGTGCTGCCAGCTAGGCTGAGACAACATCTGAATATGTCCCAGTGCGAGAGTTTGGCAAGAGAAGCTCGGAAGAGTGCAGTGTCCCCTCGATCAGCTGTGAAACTTTGCAGGCAATTCTGAAGCCCAAGGTCCTTACACAGAATCCACGAATCTGCGCGGTATAGATGCAGTACACAGCCCCACAACCTCCTTTACCTTTACCTGAACCCCAAAGCTGGATGTCGTTACTTACCTAGATGAGCTAGAGTTAAAATTCTTTAAAGGGGGTCGTACAGGTTATTAGTTTAAGCTCTTTAAAGGGGGTTGTACAAGGGATTACATTGGAGAGAATGAATAGGGCTTAATTACTAAGGGGCTGTAACTAAGGGGGATACTAGGAGTTGAGACTATAGCTCAGCTAAGCTTTGGCAACAAGCATGGATCAGTGCTGTGCCAAGGATCAGCGCCACACCTTAGCAAGGGGCGCAAATCATAGAAAGTCGGGGTCGCAGATTCATGGATCAGGGAGCACTCGCGTAAGCAGTGGTTGCTGCCACACCTCACCTTGCTCTGATGACGTTATGCCTGCAGGGGCTGTCAAGTTCCTCATGTTGGGTTTCCCACCTTCCGACCCCGAGACATTTAAGAAAGGCAAGCCTGGTGAAACTCTACGAAAAAGCCAGGATGGCCTACGCTGAGACTACAGCATGTTAGCAGAGCTACTACATGGGTTTAATGTCGGTCTGGGCAAAACAAAGTGAGGAACCGCACACAAATTGCCCCACAAGCAGGCGGCTCGTCACTACCCAAACTTTGACATGCATACCAGAACATGCGGCTTATGTCGGAGCAAGTGCTCCATGGGATCACATAACCCTACCAGAGGATTGCCATTTCCATGCTCCCTTTGGCGAGTTGTAGTGCAGTAACCTTACTACAGCAAAATGGGAAACCTTTGTTGTGAAGCTGACGCCACCCATATGAAGCGTGGTCTACCTGGTTCTGCGGACAGAGGTGGAGCCTTGGCGACCTCCAAACTTCGATAGTATATTACAATACATTAGAGTATATTACAGCACATTAAAAAAATATATAGTAGTGTATATTGCAGTATTGTTGAAACCGAGAAGAAGAGGAGTTGTTGAAATCAACCCGACTTGCTTCCATCCATGTCAACCAGCTAGCACGGGAAACTATGCACGTCCAAGCCTGAAGCTCTGTGCACCCCTGAGTTCCGGACACGAAGCCTGAGTCATCAAGTAGGTAAATGGGGGGGGTTCGCAAAATTAGGTATACCTTCTTGGAAGTCCTCAGACTAAGGATTGTAGCGTTTTGGTGTCTATATTGGGATTCCTATTTTGGGAAACTACCAAATCAGCGGCGCAGGGTTTGCATAGCTGCTGAATTTGCATGTTGATTGATTTTCTCATCTCATCCTTCACAGTTGTCGGTTGCCAGTAGCTGCAGTCTTTCGAGCTAAGGCCTGTGAGGATCGGGCGTCTCCGTCTCCGGATCAGGCCTTCAATTGTCCATCTGTATATGTCTCCAGAATAATGTGGTTGCAGTCGCTTGCTTCACGCAAATGCAACGGGCTAGCCGCAACTACTGCCCTTAAGGCCTTGGTCTTGCGCAAACCTCCCTAACAAAGGCTGCAATTGGCCCCTCCAACAAAAACACCTCTCAATCCTCTTACAGCTTGAAGAAACCATAAGCAAAATATCGTTTTAGGATGAGTCTGGATTTTGATAT